CTCGTCCAGACATGTAGGGCAGCATGTTAGATCATCACAATAGGGGCACTATTGTCTTCCACTGGGAACAACGTTGCGTATCAGTAAAGTACCTCAATGTGAAGTAACTTGAGCTCGCTCAGTCCACTACGGCAATATCCGAGCTCGAAGGACCAATTTGCGGGTATTTTCTTCAAATTCCCACACTCTAAGAAAGTCAGGCGTGTTATTAAATTAAGATTTATTATTTTTTCACACTTATGTATTACTCTTTCCTCAATCCTTCTGCCCTTGATAAGGCGTGGTGACACTCTAAATGTTGTCAGACTGCTGTCTCCATTGGCACTCCCCTGTCTGCCATTAACTTCCAGAGTGAATCTCATCTCACCGAGTCGAATGTCTTGTTAGTGTTCGAAGTGTAGTCTACGAAGCACAGAAGCTTCGGCACATTGTATTCTCTCACCTTTTCCACTAAGAATCGAAATTATGCATTACGGTACTATTTCTCTTTTTAATCTTATTTTTTATAAATATAATATATATAATTATAAATATAATAATATATATAATAAAATATAATAAAATATAATGTAATAAAATATAATATAATAATCTTTTCGCCTCTCATCCCTAATTATTGTTAATTTTGGAGCCTATAACTAATTTTAAATTGTTATAATATAATAAAATATAAGTATATTGATTTTCATTAATAACACAAAAATAAATTAAGCAACACCATGTTTGTCTGAAAACTTATAAAAGCATAAAGTATTAAAGTATTTTTTACAATGATATTTTGCAATAACGATTATGCATTGCACTGTTCTTGTCCCTTTTTTTGTTAATGTTGATTGTTAACAATAAGGTAAAAATAATTAAAGTAACACCATGTTTATTTGGATCATGTGTACTTTATAGTATTATAATTTTGTTATGTATTATTTAACTCATTTATTTGTTTTTCTTGTTTTTTTGATTTGTTATTTAATGATTTGGTTTTTTTTTTAAGTTTATTTTTATGCACAGCCAGCGTCAGGCATCACCGCCGATCCGTGTAGTCGGGTGTAAACGGAGCACTGTTTCCGTTTCCCGTTGGATCGCACCAGGGTGGGGCTAGCATTGATCGCCTCCCTTGCGTACGCTCCATGGTTTCCATGCTCTCAGATGTACAGCAGCCACGAGAAATTCAACCACGTAACAACACACTCTTTCACCTTCACACAGTGACATTTTGTTAATCTTATCTTCTTTTGGAACCAAGCACACACAAAACAACCACACTATTGTAATTAGTGCGCGTGTCTCACGATTCAAATTATAATAATCATATTTTATTTACTATGGTGATTTCAAAAAAGGGACAACAAATAGAAAATTATTTTGATCTTATCACTGTATCGGTATTACAAATTTGGAAAATTTACTACTTGAAATCGTTACCGATTTCATTCTCGTGTATTTTTGTCACACTTGCGCTCATAGAGTTGAATTAGGTTTGTAATTTTCCTCGTAAGAGCCTAGTTTAAGTAAGCGGTACGAATCACTGACCGATAAATACGTCGTGCATACTTACGGTCGCCGTAATAAAGTGGATCCTATTGCTGTGGTATGCTTCCTTGACCGGTAACACTGTCCAGGAGGCCGAGACCATCTAGCATGTTGGTCGTGTTGGTGTACACACGTACACCAGGATATACGCGACGCGTATATACACATACACTTGGATGGGACCTTCATTCAATATTTAACTGGCGATGCTTTGGAGCGAGACGAGGAGAGCCAGGATTTCTCCATACGTTGCATCTCCGTGATTTACGTTCGCGTTCACGGAGCGCTCTTCTGCCCTTCCATATAGTAATCCGCTCCATTTCTGGACGGTGGTAGAATGCCGGCGTATAAATTATCCCGCGAACTAATTAACATTGTTGCCGATATCGTGCGAACGTCTTCGCACGCGGTAACGCGAGAGGATACGAAGATTAATCGCGCGCCTTTGTGATTCGGCGCACCGTGTCAAAGATTGTTCCACGGCGGAGACGCATCCAGTTCGCTCTCGGGGATGCATTCGCGCGGTAGAGTGCACCCGGAATCGTGTATCATGCGTCAGTCCAGATAGGCATTGATTTATCGTACACGCGTGTAATAGAGATTATTTATTATTTTATGCTCGTCGTAGCAGCGCGTTCGTCTTATATATCGCGGCCCGTAATTGATGACTATATCATATTTCGTGATGGAATGTGTTTTCTAATTTTGCATACCTGGATCATTGTGCGATCATTTGTGCTACTTCGAATTCTTTCTTTAATGACATAAAATGCCATTTAAAATCTTTTAAATTAAACTTAATATAAATTACAATCTTTGTATACAACTGCATTTATAAAATATATATATGTCGTATAGTTTCATTAATGTTATTAATAACATAAAAATGCCATAGTGATCCGCGAATCTGAAAGTTCTCGAAAGAAGAGCCAGATTTTCGTGAAAAACATTTTTTTTCTTCACTTTTAATTTTATGAATTACTTATTGCCTGTATTACAGATTCAACCTTTTTTCTAGGGAAGCAAAGAATTAATACTTGAATAACGTTTAGGTAGAAGTTTTTCTATTCTAAAGAGTTTTTCTTTAAATAGTCATCATAAAATAATTTTTTTTATTTATTAATTGTTTATGTTTCTATCTTAATGTCATTAATGACATAAGAACGCTTTAGTGATGCGCATATCGAGTGTGGTCGCGCGATAGCTTGATTTCTCTCGACGCTGCAGCAGATTTCTCACGCGCGCCGCGCCTATTACCAATGATGCGCTTTTACTTTTGGTAATCCATAACAATTTGAGATTTCTTAAACGTTTCGGTGATACTAGACTTCACTGTTTCCAAATTTGTTACAAAATTTATTTCAGCGGTAGATCAAATTTACTTTGATTTTTCACGGTTATGTTGTTATTTATCTTTTTCCAAAGAGAATGAGAAGGTAACGTACATAATTGATTCGGGATGCATTGTTTTTATTTATTTTTTTGAAAAACAAAGAAACCAAATATATCGAATTATTATTATTAACTTATTTGCAAATTGTTGAAATGCATTTTTTGTGAATAAACCGAGTATTTTTCTATTTACTTTATTTTTCTTTGCAAACAATCTTTGAATATAAGTAAATAAATTTGTTCGAGTATCTTGCAAGAAAACGAATTAATAGTGGTGCACACATAAACAACACCTTATTTATTTTGTCTTTGGTTGTTCTCAATTTCATTGAAATTTTTGCAGTTTTACTGCGTTTCTTCTTTTTTTATACATAGCACTAATGAATCACGCAATGATCGCAAGATTGCTAATTGAGGGTTGAATGTTCATAGGAGATCATTTCGTAATGCTCACGATGACATGATATTTCATTGTGTGCTCGAGTACTTATTGCGTAAGTATCCACGTTCACGTCCGTTCGTATCTCTCCCTGACGTTGCGCAGTAATTGTGCATGCTCTACCACCGTCATCATTTATATTGATCTTCGATACACGTTCGTCGCTTGGTAAGCGTGTTACTTCTCATTTCGGAATTGAAAATGATAGTGAAAATAATATTGTGAGTTCTCGGGAGGTACCTAATAAAACTTGGCGCAAGACACTACCATGTCTCTTGATATCGTTATTTCGTTATCGCTATTCGCACTTACTCGATATCTGCTTCTTTATTATTATATATATCGGTTAGCATCATTTCCAATTTTCATTAACGTCGTGTCGCCGACATAATACGTTATATATAGTATGTGTAATGTATACGTATGCATGCACATCGGTGACTTCTCGTTACCGGGATTACGTAGGTTACAAATGACTGTTTCTGCAGCGGGTTTGTTAGTCTGCGAGCTTTGTTTAAGATTACTTTAAAAAATGATTCTTGGGGTAGCATGGCAACGTTCGCGAAATTTTAATGATATAATTTCGAAATATGCGACTTTGGCATGAGAATCTGAAGATGAGATCATGAAATTTTGACAATGACGTGATTGTCTATATTACTCAAACATCGATAAATCAAACATTATTTGCCTTTTAATTGCCTTTCAATTTGTAGTAATTTGATTTATTATCATACGAGCTAATTCCTTATATATTAATGATTTTAAACATTATTATTAAAAATTTATATAAGAATTAATTTTCTTAATTTTCCAGAAAGGTAGTTTATTTAATCATTTATAATAGAAATAAATGACTAAAATTATATATTTTTAAATATACATTTTTCTGTGATATGGTCGTAAAAATATGTACGATTGCGCTCTAACTAGTTTTTTTTTTTTTTTTTTTTATTGCGCTTGTATGCACTATTTGATCCCATCTCTGGATTGGCCCCTCACCAGTATAATGGAAGAGGTAGCTGGGGCATTTTATATTTGCGTTTCACGCGTGCGATGACTCACGGTCCTCGGGAGCAGCGTTTCGCCGTATTTCAGAGAGCAGGAAACCGAGAGACTGCGGCGCATTATGAAATCGGAGATATTACGGGAGGAAGTTGTATTCCAGGCGATATTATGAGCGCACGCTTCGCAGAGCCGTGGTGTAAAATGTCATCGTTATGCGCCGCTTAGGGTTGATATTAGTTGACAGCGGTGCCGTCGTCAATATTTACTATAAGCTCATTGTTTTGCGTATTGCGTTATGGCTAGCTAGACAGTTACTGTGAATACAATTGTATCTAAGTCCATACTACGCTTGTCTAACCGATTTAACAGACCATTACGAAAGCGATCGAGTGCGCCGTGTATCGTTTAACTTTGTTGCTTTCGTTTCCAGATTTGTTGCGTTTGAGTTCATGCAGTTTTTATCTCATATCATCGCGATTGTTTTTACGGCCGATTATGTAAACTAATCAGTCACAAAACACAAGTCTGTCGCAGAAGAATGCTCCATCGATAATCGTTTTACGCTGCACAGTGGCAAAATTTTTTCTCCGAGAATAATGTACAACATATATCGAATTTATTGATATTTTAGGTGATACCGGCAGATCGCCGGCCTCCGGAGAAGGAGGAAACGTGGACTCTGCCTACTGATCAACAAGATCCATGCGTTCTTTTCGACGATACCGTCAAGCCGAAAGGGACGCAGGACGAGAAGACGCAGCTGAAACCGACCACAGAAGCGATCTCCGTGGATACGGGCGATAATGTGGACAACACCTTGCCGCGCAGTCAAGAAACCAGAAAGAGCAAGACCAAGAAAGTAAAGAATTATCTGAGAAAGTGTAAAGGCGCGCTGTCGAAGGGTGACGAGAGTGTCACGGAGAAGAAACGCCAGGAAAATTGCACTTCGTGGTATTTGGAGGACATTGCTATTCGCGCGTCTCAGGAGGATCACGACGAATCCGCGGAGAGGTACACGGAATTTCTTGAGGAAAGGCTCGAGGAGACGACGCGTGATACGAAACCCGTTGAAAATCTCGTGCCTGAAACACTTGAAAGTTTTTTGAGGGATGAAAATCTTGAAGAAACTCCGGATGAGGCATTCACTAAATTGCTGGAAGAAGACCGCAGGATCGATCTTAGCAGAAGCGGGACACCTCTGTACGAGGATGCCAGAGGTGCAAGTCTGGAACCGCACACCTCAAATCAGAAAACTCCGACGAAAAAATCAGGGCAGTCCTGCGACGAAGAGAAAAAAGATGTGGTTTTGCTGGAAACGCTGATTACGGAAGATACGAATCTGAACAAGTGTGACTCGAACGACACATTGATAGCAGAAATCCTGGAAACAGCGGAAACTGCGACGAGTTTCAATACGGAATTGACGGCGGAAGAAGGAGAAGATGCACGGAAAACACTTGTGGAAGGAGTTGATGAAGAAGCAATGTTAGCAGTTCTTACATCCTGCGCGGTGAGTCTGTTTACATTATGTATATTTGCTTGCATGGCTATTGTAGGATGTATATTCTAATTTTGGGAAAAAATTCCTGAAAGTTCTCTGATTTTTTAGTAATTTTTTGATTCAATTTTTAAACAAAAATATTCTTTAAATGTAAATTTAAAATTTACGATTGATACCGTATACCGTTTTTACTTATTTTTGTTCTGCTGTTTTTAAGTCAGCAATTATTTGGTCACGAACGGAAATAACACGAAATTATTTATGAAATTAGGAATTTCCGTCCGTTTTGGAATTCAAAAGAGGTTTTAATCATTATTTCAGATAAAAATTTACATGGTTAAATAATTTAATTATTTTCTAATTACAAAATTTTTTGTATACAGCAAATTAGTGTAAAAAAATATTGGTATCTTAATAGTTTTTGGTGATGGTTTTTGATGATGGGAGTATTTTGCTATTTTCGATTTTAAATTAAATCATAGGCTGCTTGAATTAAAAATTTAATTTTCCTTTGATGTTGTATAATATACACGTACAACGTATCGCTGTAGTACAACCTTCGCTTAAGCCAAAACTTTTCAAATCCTGCGATTATACACAAGATTGGTTTGTTTTTTGAAAACCGATAATTGAGAAAATGCACATTATGCATTAAGCGAGTATCGTATATGTTGGGGAACAATAATTCAATGTTTTTTAGTAATATCACACTTGGAACGTGTGGTAATATTTTGTTAAATAAGTGTCTGAGGTTATTTCTCGTTTTATGGGGACACTTTATACAAATATTTGAAGTATGCTCAGAAAAAACGGTATTCTGTGTAAACATTATAAACATTATAAACATATATACACAGAGACATACGTACACTCGTTGTATAATAATACAAGAAAGATTAGAGTTTCATGACGATGTGCCTTCGTATTATTCCGTACAATTTTCTTTTAAGTCTGATCTATTCATTACATATTTCTTAATATGTTGAAATGAATAGATCATCGAATGAGATGCATCGTCTGTAGGCGTCGAAAAATTAAGGAGCCGACCGACCGGGTTTTGAACTCGGGATCCCTCGTACCACAATCCAGCACTTAAGTTTGCTGCCCCACGACAGCTCCCCCACTACTTTTCTATTCAATTCGACCGCCTACCAAATATCGAAACAAGCCTTACTAGACTTTATACTCCTACAGCTCGGCCAGCCTGACAATACATTCGTCCTCGAATATGAGCGATCGATGGCACTCACGATTGTCCAT